AGACCTGATTTGTTGCTACCCCTACCTTGGCTAAAGACCATCAGAATATTTGGCTAGTTCTTACCTGGAATCGGGCAAGCTGCCCGGTACACCTATTATCAAGTAAAAAGTGATAAAAACACGCTTTATACATATTTTTTGTTTTAGTTAATAATTCAACTCACATAACTTCATCCCGCTTTTTAATCTAAAAAAAACAAGGAAAAAGTTTATATAAGGTTGAGGCTCTAAGCAATCAGGCGCACTTCAAAAATTTACTAGAAGAAGTTGTTTCGATTCCATAAACCCTATAAATCCGATCATCTGGACCTTGAGATATATGGATATAAAAAAAAATGGACTTAAAGTCTTGATAATAGCACATCTTGTAATGCATTGTCTAGACCATCAATATTTTCAAGTGTTCATAGTTCTGCTTGATCTACACAATTTTTTAAGTTTTAAATTTTATAATTAGATGAAAATAAATTTTTTGGCATCGTAATGATTCTCGGTATTGAAACGACATCTTGCAACATGATTTGAAGGTGTGCCTTACTTTGATTGTTTAAGGCCTCAACCTTATACAAACCACACCCCAAAAAAAATCCTTGTTACCCTCTTAAGAATTATTATTTTTATCCAATGTTGCATTTGAGCGGTATTTTTTTTTTCCCCACCAAAATCTTGTGAAATTTTCAGCCTAAAAGTCCAACCTGTTTGATTTTGGTACAGGAGCCCTACAGTAGACTTCTATATCAAAATTCTTGGATCAAAAAGCAAAATGGAAGAAATCGAGAGACCAAGTTTAGGGAAATTTTTAACCCAATAGAAAAAAAATCTTCAATTTCTCACCAAATTTGATCAAATTTGTCCTGAAATGCTCCTATCACATTGATCTATAAAAAGCACTAACAAAATTTTAAAATATTAAAACAACAAATATGTAAGAATCTTTTTCTTTTCTTTTTTTCCATTTTTCTTCTTAGTGTGTTTTTATTTTATTTTATTTATCTTGATTTTGATTTTTATCGTTTATTGTATAAAATGAAATCTATGATTTTTATTTTGATTCTTTTTTTTTTTTTTTTTTAAGAGTAGCCAAGTACGCTTGAACAATTCAGCAATCCGACAGGTTTGACTCCAGACCTATGGGTGACTCGTTAGGCCCACATGTTCTGAATTTTTAAACACTAATTATCAATTTTTTACCATTTTTTTTTCTTCTGAGACTGGGATCAAGGCTAGGTGGTCAAGGAGGGAAGAAACCACAACATAACCTCTTGAGTTCTATCTCTACCGCAAGTAGCGACCCCTTTTCCATTCAATTCCCTTCAAAATAAAAAAAAGGGTTTATTTGTTTTTTCTAGCGCACGAAACACTACCACTTTGGAGTATTTTTTATGTAAAATTTTGAGATCCAATTTGTAGTCCCTCAATGAGTATTTCAAAAAACAATAGCTGAAGTTTGAGCCTCTAAAGATATAGATTGGATTGTCCACCAAATTGCAGAGTAATCTATGAAGTTATCGTTATTGGGAGCATATGAAATGCGTGCAATATTTTCTTTTTGGCCTTTTAGTTCCCTTGCTTGAGAGGTTATATCACCAAAATAAGTAATGGAATGTAGCGTACTTTGGCAAGAGTATACTGTACATTAACTCCTTCAGAGATCCATTTAGGATAAATTTTTGTGATCTGAAATGCTGGGTCCATTTGAGAATTGGCCGTTGAGTATTTTCAAAAAAACAGAAAACAAGATTTTTAGTTTTTCAACACTTCAATCTTTACCTCCTTAAATTGGATAGTCCCTAAGACGTTATTTTAACATGCACATAAAGTGTGTCATTTGAAATTTTACTCTGTTTTTTTTTTTTAATTCGTTACGAAGTTATATTTCCAAATTTTGAGTTTCTAAAAGTGCTCCACACGTGGATTTTGCCTAAATGAGACAAACGTTTTTTTTTTTTTGATAGTTCAACATTAGGAATTAAATTTAAGATGTAGCGCACAACAAGAAGATAACAAATACGTTTGGTTTGTATAAAAAAATGGGAAAGCTCTCTATGTTCCCCTTACAATATAGAAGTTATATGTTCTCCTTATCCAACCGTCTATTTTTTAATGGAGGGATAAGATTGTCTCAATCACAATGTCACTTCTCTGCACTGTTTTATTTTTAATTTTTTTTCTATAAATTGTTTTGACAACAAATTTTGGACGTCCATTCTTATATTAAACTCGCACTAACGAAAAATATAAAAAAATATATTTTCAATAAAATAAAATAAAATAAAATAAAATAACTAAAATACCTCCGAAAGAAAGAAGGGGTATTTTGGTCATTATTTTTTATAGAAAAAATATTGTTAATAGTTTTTATAGGTGCGCCCCAATGAGAAGATGACACTTACCAAATTTCATATTAAAAAAAATTGTATTAAAAAAAACTAAAAATAAAATACTTTGAGAAGTCGGATCTAAGATCAAACGGTGAGTGGCTCTCTTGATAAAAAATGGACGGCTAGATGGTAAAGGGAACATAGAATTTCTATGTTGTAGGGGAAACATAGAATGCTTTCCCAAAAACAATTTACATGACAAAATTTTCATATGAAAGTGCTTTAGGAGGTATGGAGGTATTTTGAAATCAATTTAGGCATAATAGTTTATCATGAAATGGACCAATTGGTGTGAAAAACCCTCCATAATTTCTCAAATGGGGAAATACTTCCTTATGAAATTTTTTTCATGATAACTTTTTCATTCGAACCAAATGTACCCTAAGTCAAATCATCAAAATACGCTAAATATGGTTTTTAAGCGTGGTGCATATACCATGCTCCTGCGACAAATTGAGTACATCTAATCCATCATTAAGAAAACTAGGATAGGAGAAATGTTTTTTCACGTGAAGTTTTGAGAACCACCTGAGAGAATCACTGTATGATTGTTTTCAAAAGAAAAAACTTGAATTTTAAAATTGGATTCCTTCCAATGGTGAGACATTTTTTTTCAAATCTATAAAATGTCTAATTTAGATCTTTAAATTTTTTCTATTGAGATTAGTGATTTGAATAGTTTACATCCCAAAATTTGAATTTGTGCCCAAATTTCCAGAAGCCAAAACCCAGGGCTCCCAAATCCACTCTTATTCCACCCCTTTGCTCGCTTGGAAAAAAAGTATGATCATTTTACCCCTTCCCCACCAATTTCATAATCCCATTGGCCCCTCACTGCGCAACGACCATGAAACACCCTGTGTTTTATGACAAGGTGCGCCCCCATGACGATCATCCACCCTCCATTTTCACAAACAGACGGTGGAGATCCACCATAACCCCCAATGGCAGGCATTCACCCATTACTGTAAATCTCCACTCAGTCATCAGAAAACAATGGGCAGACCATACACCATATTCCCTTCTGGATCATGGTTCTGGTTGATCGGGCTTGTCGTCGGAGCTGGTTTTTGTCACTGGAGCCGCCACCGGGGCCACAGCGGTGCAGAACAAAATCCCAACCACTTGTCTCATGGACGGCCTCTCCTTCGGGTCGGGATGGCAGCAGGCCAGCCCCAACTTGAGAAACATGTCCATTTCTTCATTTCCATACTCCCCTGCAATTCGGCTATCTGCTGCCTCAACCAATTTCCCCTCTGTGTACAGCCCCCGCACCCAGTCGACGAGCACAGGCTCATCGGCGGGCCTCCATGTCTCGATTGGTCTCCTCCCACTAGCCACCTCCAAAACCACAACCCCAAAGCTATACACATCGCTTGCCGCCGTCGGAGCAGGGGCTCGAGCCAGCTCCGGTGCCAGATAGCCCAACGTGCCAACAACTCTGGTTGCCTGTGCGGTCTGGCCGTGCTGGTACAGCCTCGCGAGCCCGAAATCGCCCAATCGACCTCTCATATCCGTGTCAAGCAACACATTGCTCGATTTCACATCGCGGTGGAGCACCTGTTGCTCCCACCCCTCGTGCAGATACAGAAGCCCCTCGGCGACATCGGCGATCACTTGGCGTCTCCCTGACCAACTTAGGGGCTTTTCTGGGGAGCCGAAGATGTGTCGGTCCAGGCTGCCATTAGGCAGGAAGTCATAGACCAGCATGAGCTGGTCAGCACGCCGGCACCACCCACGCAACTGCAAGAGGCGCCGGTGCTGGAGGCGTCCCACGCTCCATATCTCGGCCAAGAACTCGCGCATCCCCTGTTTTGAGTCATGGTTCACACACTTGACCGCGACCTCGGCACCTGAACCAGGAAGCACCCCTTTGTACACCTTGCCGAACCCACCAGAGCCTATTAGGCCCTCCTTGGCGAACCCATCTGTGGCCTGGAGTAGGTCCTCATAAGCGATCCTATGCGGCCAATACTCGACCTCCCACTCCTCTGCCTCTTCCTCGGCCTCAGGCATTTTCGGCCGCCGGAAAAACCACCAATACCCAATTCCAGCAACGAGACAGAGAAATGCAATCACACAAGCAGATGCAATTCCGGCAATTGCAGCCTGAGACAACGGTAAGGACGTGAATTCGGACACGGAATAGATGGGGAGGTTCGATGTGTCAAGGGCACGAGCGACGCCCTCAGTGTCGAGGCTCCACGCCAGCACCCTCTGTCGCTCAGCTGCATCGCTCACCTTCGATGCCGAGAACCCGATGTACATTTCATCTGAGAAATATTGGGCTATGCTGTCATCCTTGAATGAGAGAAGGGGTCGCGAGGGCCGTCGATTTCCGGCAGGGGCGATAGTGATATTGATTTCCTGCTTCAGGCCATCGAATTCAATCCAAGCTTGAATGTTATGACCGGTCCTCATAGCAATCGGCTCAAACAAATTCGAAGAGTTCCAAAAACCAGCAGGTGTGGAATTTGCAGAAATTATGGATGCGAGGTCAACCCCGATATGGTTATCGTCCGTCTCATCGAACTCGGGGTTCCTGCCAGTGTCGAATTCGATTGCGATGAGATCTTCGAAGGCATCAGTGTTTGTGTTTGGAAATAGGCCAAAATACTGGCCTGGCAGAGCACCAGGGGGGTTGGTGGAGGCTGAGAGAACAAAGGCGAGGCCGAATCCCGGGCTCCTTGTTATACGAGGGAGGATAGAGAAGATGAAGGTTGTAGAAAAATAGAAGCTGGAGGTGGAATTCGAGGATTTGATGGGTAGAGGATTGGGGAAGAAGGCACGGCCAATGGAGTAGTAATTGGAGTCGTCCGTGAGGAGGATCGAGCGGTGGCGATCGATTCGGGTGTCGTTGAGGAGGGAGAGGTCCTTGGTGGAGAAGCCATTGAAGAGGAAATTTGTGGCAGAGGCCGCCGAGTTTGGGCTGAGAGAAAGGGATAGGGGGAGGAGGAGCAGAAGCCATGGAGCTGAGATCATGTGTAAAGTGGTCATTTTTGAGAGAGAAAGTTCCTCTCCCTTAGTTGCAAAGGAGGCTTTTCTCTCTCTAAACAAGATGGAAAAGAGAAGAAAAGATTTAACTTTTTGTGGCCTACATCTTCAAGGTCAGAGGTACAATGGTGATTTTGGGGGGTTTAAGGGTTTGGGTTTAAGTTGCTGACAGGAGGCCTCTCTCTTGTGAAGGAGAGGGAGAAGAGAAAAGATTTGTTTCTCTCTCGATCTTTTACAGAGGAAATTGGAAGATCATTTTGAGGTGAAGGTTTAAATTGCAGGTGAATCCTCTTTCTCTCTCTAAACAAGAGGAATGGGTCAAGAGATGTCTCCCTGATCGAAATCTTGTAGATCAGGAGTAGAGTGGTCCGAACTGATGAACACTTGGGTTCATCTCTTTCTCTCTCTAGAGGAGAGGGATGGGAGAGAAGGGATATTTGGTTTGTGGTCTTATTCTGTTGATGAGGGGCAGAATCGTCACTTCGGTCCTGTGCAGATTGGCAAGCGGCAGGATGCATTGTCTTTCCCTTGCGAGGTAAGATCTGATTAAGGGAGAGTGATTTGAAGAGTAGCTGAGATGGTCCTCGACTTTATAGAAATGACAAGACGTACTGTGAATTGAATGCATTTGTTGGACTCTTTTTCTCTCTCCTCCTTGCCGAAAGCAGCAGGCATTGCACGCTGTGTAAAGGTAAAACTTTTGGAGTTCCACAGCCGCCCATGAGAACTCGTGGCCGAAACCGGTCCGTTGGCCGGACCTGGACTCTGACTCGGACTCGGATCTACACTCGAAAAAATGATATAAAAACTGACGGGACTTGAATTCACCGGATCCGGACCTGGACTCGGAGTCAGACCAAAAAAATATAGTGTGGGACCCAAACCTAGATTAGACCTGACCTAAAAAGAAAAAAAAAAATCTATATATCTAATTATATTTAAATATATTTCATAATCTGAGACCCAAAAAATATTACCAGACATGGACCCAGACGCGATCGGACCCAGACTCAAACTCGAAGATTTAGATTCAAACCAACCCACTAGGTCTAATTTTGGACCCATACCCAAACCCGGATCGGGTCTACCCCCTTTGATCTCGGGTCAGGTCCGGGTGCATTGCCAACCATAACTTGGGATCGAGGGCTACAAAGGTTTTTTGACAAGGCGAGCCACCCTCGCTCGGTCCTAGCCCTCATATACTCGGTCCAGACCAAGCGAAACTGCCAAAGGGGCCTTGGCCCAAGCCCTATCAGGTCGGGCTACAGCTGACTATGGCCTTGGCCTAGGCTAGGCCCGGCTTGGCCTGACCCTCTAGCTGTACTCAACCCTGGCCTGACCGGGCTGGGCCACCCAGCCCATTGCCATCCCTATTTTGTCACCCCTCTCTCTTTCAAGGTTATCTACTATAAAATCTCGGCCGGCAAAACTTGAACATGAGTTAGGGCTCGGAGGTTTTTTATCTCTCGCATGCAGCAACGCTTCCGACGATTTTTGCAAAGCGTGAAACTGCATATCATAGCTCCTCCAAAGGCAATACAACCTTCAAAGTTGGAACCAGTGTAAGTAAATCTGAACTGGAACAGTTAACCGAACATAGGCCTGGAAGTGGTTTAACCGGCCTAATCGGTTAACCGGCCGATTCAACCAGTCTAACCGAGCAAATCCCTAGTGGTTAAAAAAATGTTGAAATAAAATAAATAAATAAATAAAAAATCTACTAAATTATGAAAAGCATATAAAGAATGATTAAAACAAAATACATTCAAATGAAGTTGAAAATTAATGAAAACAATAGATTTTTAACCCATTTTATATTTTTCAAGAGCTATTTTTTTTTAAAAAAGGGAAAATATAAAAATATAAAAATAAATGTTAATGACAAAAACAATTTTTAATCTTTATCATAATGTAAAGAATATTTAAAA